CTCACCTCCCACAAGAACCACCTGGACTTGATGTGGTAATAATAAACACTCCCTTCCCCTCATACGTACAATATCAGTTTGGAGTCAGGCAGCACAAAAATTGATGCAAATAATAAAAATAAGATAAAGATCAGACTTCAGTCTAGAAAGCAACCCATAGACTTCTTTAATAGTTTGTCTATGACATTTAACCAGTTCTTGATTTCTGAGTGAGGAATGGTAAATTATCACATCTCCGAGTATAAACAATGACTGCATAAAGACTGAAGGACTGGCAAGTAGGCCAATCCCAAAAAAACATCTCTGGATGAGGAGAGGACAGGAAGTCACCCACTTTTGCTCCAAACTGTAGCTCCTTGTGAGGACACTGCAAGACAGTGGTTTCCCATCAGTTTGAGAACTGGGAGACAAAGGGAATCATCATACTCTCAGTTGAAGTAAAGCCTTTTAAAGGACACTGAGTTCACTAATCTTACTTCTATTCACTTTTGGAAATCTCTGATTTAATTATATTAAGAATATTAGAGATCTTCAAAACAAGTTTGAAAAGCCACTTAGTAAGTTTACCTTTGTTCTTGAACAAAAGAAAAAGTAACTGTAAGGTTAATAAATAGAAACAAATGGCAAAAGCTAAATAAGAATTTAAGAAAGATATAAATGCCAAAATCATGTCTGATTTACTTTGACCATGTCACACATGGAAAATTCACTGGAGAAGGCAATGAGGCTAGGAATGGTTAGTGGAACAAGAAGGGCAAGCAAAGAACATGCTGGGTTGATAACATTAAATCTGATACAAAGTTGAATATCCAACAATTGAAAGAAGCTGTGCTTGACAAGATAGCATGGAGAGCAGTTGCTGATAAAATTGCCAAGAGTCAGACACAACTAAATGGATAAAGCAGCAACAACAGATGCCAAAAAGGGCAAGAAAGATTAGGAACTATAGGACTTTTGCTAAAAGATTTTGGGGAAATTAATAAACAATTCCTTCATGGGGATACTATTTTATTTAGTCTATCCAAATAACAGAGATATAAGTCTTTATGATTTCAGAAAACACACACTAGAAGGCAGGAAAATAAAAAAGGCTGTTTTTAAATTGGAGAGTAAGTATTGGATTGGAAGAAATGACAGATAATACTGTGAAGTGTGAATCATTTCAAGATACTTGAAGAATGGACCTATTGTAGCTGCAATGTCAGAAATGTTTGCTTATGTGAATGTATAATTTAGAAAAGAAGAAAGGAAAGATGTAAAGAAAATGCTTTGAAAGACCTACATGATGAAGACTTGAAAAAGCGTAGGCAGATTTACTAGAAAATAAAGAAATACAAGATAGAGACCTCAGTTAATATGGAAATACAAATGATAAACCAAGATAATGTTCTGAATAACAACTTCTTGATGAATTAACAAAAGAGGCTTGTTAAAGCCTTGAAGGAACTTTAGAGATGGAAAAAAGAAAAAAGAAAGGAAGATCAAAATCTAAAACAGCATTTCAATGAATCAAAATCGACCATTGTTAGAATTTAAAACCAATTTGTTTTACTATGGTTAAATCAAAATAATTTGATAAATGGACTGAAAAAGTTAATAATTTCTGGATTTGCAAATGGATAAGTGATGAGCTGTGGGAAGAGCGCAGTGGTGAGATTCAAAAGTTTTTACTATCAGTTCTGTGGGTGTGGCTTTGTGGGTGTGGCAGAGGAAGGATACTGCAAAATCCCCATTCCCTCCCCACTCTCAAAATTTCCACTACCAGTTCTCCAGAACCTGTCAGAACTGGCTGAATACCACCTCTGGAAGAGAGATATGCATGCAAGGGGGAAGAAACATTACGCTTCTACTTGTGATAAAGATTAGTCACTTCTTTAACTATTTTTTAAAAAAATTTCTCTTTTATTACTTCTTTGTATTCTTTCTCTTTTCATTTACTCTCTCCCTTCTGAATTTGGTTTGTATTTATTTTTAAAACTGCAAAAAATTACTTTAAAAAATTAATTATTCTATCAAAAAGATTTGAGAGGGAAGGGAGTGTCTGTGAAATATATGTTAGATCCAAAGAGAATGTTAATTATTTATTTGTGGCATTATATTGCTTCTTAGAATATAATCTTTAAAATAATATTTGCAGAAAACCTTGGCTATGTTCATAAGCATAAAGAATTTCCCCAAATGATTGAAAAACTACAAAATGGGTAGATGGGTAGGATAGAACTGGAAATTTAGATTCTAGACAATAAACAACAAATATAATGTAAATTGGCAGATTCTAATAATTTCTTGAAAGGGATCTGGCTGAAAGTATATAAAATGTTTAATATGTTTGACATATTAATAATATGTAAAACATATTAAATAAATAAAGGTTGAAATAGATTTCTAATAGCTAGCCATTTTCTGCCCTATGCTAACAATATGGCTGGGCTGAGGAATTCTGGGAGTTGAAGTCCACAGGACAAAGTTGCAAAGGTTGGACGCTCCCATTCTAAACTAAAACTACCACTATTTAAATTTTTGCTTCTACTCTGTTGTCTTCATCTCTTCAATGATGTTAGATTCTTTTGAATGCTTTTAGCATGTACATATCAAAATAACTGCCTGGAAATAGCATTTACTGGGTATAAACAGAAGATCTATCTCCCCATAATTAACTTTACTTTTTTTGCTCTTGATTACTTCATCTTTCTGGCTTTAAATGAAGAGTCAAGTTATAGGACCCGAATAAGGTGTGATTTCCTATTCTCCACAAAATCTTAGACTGATACCAGTTTCCATGTTACAGGACTCTTGGTCAAATTGACTTCAAACCGCCAATTGCTCCTCAGTGCACTTGCCATTATATTATTATTATTGTATTGTATTATTATTATATTATTGAGCCATAGTGCAACACTAGGCGGCCAAAACACCAAGATAAGCTGAATTCAAGCATTCCAGATTACACTGATTATTAGTTATATCACCGTTCTGTGCCATTTTCTTGACTGAATGCAATGATTTAACCTGATTTCTTTGCTTAATCCGACTATTTCGAGACACCAAAACAAACCGCATAGAAGTTTTGCCACCATGACTATGCAGTGGATGGAATAATTTCAAATTAATTGAATGCCTGGTGTCCCTGCCACACCTATTACTATCTTGTGTTCCAACTAATCCTTTGTGTATCATGCACTAATTCAGCAACAGACAGTTTTGGTTTCCAAACCAGTAAAGTCAGTTTAAACAATATGGGAGAACACATGATCCCACAGCATATGATGCAATGACTAAGATGAGAAAATCTTATTTCATGCCATCCCTTTGTTCAGCTGTCTACCAGGATTCATAAGAACCAATCTGTGGCACTAACTGTAGAAATTAAGTAGAATAAGAGCAACCCAGAGATGGTTCCTTATATAACCATGAAGCTTATTTAAGCAAGTAACCTTTTTAAAAAAATATATAGAGTTGGAAAAGATGTTCCATATAAAAAATGTCAAGAGAACAGGTTTAGAGGGCATTTAATATTTTCTACACGGTAATCTGATTTTTATGAGAGCCAGTTTGGTGTAGTGATTAAGGTATCTGTCTAGAACTCAAGAGACTATGAGTTCTAGTCCTGTCTTAGACACAAAGGCAGCTGAGCGACCTTAGGCTAGTTACTTTCATTCAAGCCTAGGAAAGAAGCAGTGTCAAACCTTTCCCAAAAATGCAGGGATTTCTTCAGGCAGTCTCCAAGTCTTGGACATGATTGAACAGAAGAAAAAAAAATCTTATTTATAAAAGAAGACAACCACAATTTTCTTTCTCTCCCAGAACCACAGTTGATTGCTGCATTTTGTACAGCATTTTATCAGGAGTAAAGGGTATAAATTTTATTTAGCATTAAGGTATCTAGATGTAGTAGTGTTGCAATGTTGATATAATGCATACTTTTGCACTTTGCAGGTTTTTTTCTATTGGCTTTCCTCAACTGGTGCCTTTCAGATTAGTCATGCTATCTGGGGATGGTAATGGTTGTAAAATCCAATGGATTTTAAAAGCATGAAATTAAAGAAGACTGGATGTTTAATACTTGAAGTCTTTTTTATTACAGCAACTGCAATAACTGAAACAGAAATACTTTACTGACCTTAAGTTGCTGGACTGATTTATTTAAAATCAGTTTTTTTCTAATTACTTTTCGAGCAGCAGAGAGTGGCATGAATATCAGATTTGAACACTTCAATAAGAACACATCTATTTCTTATAATTTCATGTTTATTTATATAGAAAAGCATTTTATTTATACAGAAAAGCAGGAAAAACCCATTCAATTTATTTTAATGCCTTAAAATACTTAGGGAAAGAGATCTGTCTTCTCAAAGGCACATTGAATATATAATAATAGAATTAAGCAGCTGAGTGGATTGTTAAAACATACTTTTAAACCCAAGTAGCCACAGGAATAGATACCCACAATAAAAAAAATATGTTTCTACTTATTTATATATAACTGGTGCAAATCTTAAAATGTAGTAATTCTGGGAGGAGAATTTTAATTTATTTAGCACCTATATAATTCTGGCTTCAGTTGTTTGAAATCAAAGGCAGTAAATATACTCCCAAGAAAATGGTAACTTGATCTGTTCATACCATTCTCTTCCATTTCCAGGGTTCAGCCTGAATTCCACACCAACGCACAGCATATAACGTTTTTAATTTTGAACTCAAATCATCCAATTTAAAAAATACTATATTTCTATCAAAGGAGAATGAGCTCCCTAGAAAAGTTCAAGTTAACATTTGAACTTTCCTGGAGCCTTCTAAAAACATTTTCTTCAATATCTGTCATTAACAATCTGTAACATTAAGGATTTTTCTATTCAGATGCAAAATTAAAGACATGCATGTAGCAGATGACTAACCAAGCAGATGTGACCAACAAGGTCTGATCATTTCTTAACCTCAGCAATCAAAATATTTTTCATGTCATTTTAAACAAGTAAAGAGCTAAGAGTAAGAAACTTATATTTTATTTTCAAGATTACTTTATTTTTTACAGTGACAATTTCAATTAATGTATCTGTCCAAGTGAAGAATCAGGACCAGTGTTTATATAGTTTAAGCATCTCAGCCATGATAACTTACAATAAAACAATGCTCACATATCATTTAAACTGTATTTACTTCTAATCCAGAAATATCCAATTTTAAAAAATAAACTGATTACTTGACTAATGTCTGTAATACATAGGCTGAATTTAAAAATACTGTCACTTAAAGCAAGGAAACATTTGAACCATGAAAGCTCAAGGGCAGCTTTCAGTCAGGCTGTCTCTACAGAAGAAGCACAGTCCAAATTATGCTCCATCCTTCCTCCTGAAAGCAAAGTACATATAACTGTACTCAGAATAGAATTGTAAGAGAAATGCACCAGAGAGATCCATCATCCTGTATCTGCAGTCTTGCTCAGTGCAGTCACAAAGGCAATGTTAGTCATGTAGGCACACCTTCCTCAGCTGTATAAGATTCTTCTCTCCAACACTGAACAAGACCCCCTGCAGCAGTGAGTAGGCAGGTTTCAACTGGATGGAAGGACAATGACTGGACAGCAGTATTGCACACAGGCAAGGCCAGAACAAGGGAGCCCTATGGGAGAGAAAAGGACAAAATGTAGCTACTTCATTCACAAAACCTACAGAGGACAGAGATTACCTACGGATATATTATTTGCACAACTGTTATCACCACATAGCCTGGTACAAGGAAAATCTGACTTGCAGGACTACTTGTGACAATGTCCTCTTATTAACCAGCATGATCTTAGAGAAGAAAATTGGGCAAGGGATTAGGACAGGTAAACCACTAGCAAGGCCAGTTATTTCATAGGAATAATATTAAGAAGAAATTGTCCACATTTGATAATCTGAATTGAAAAAAATGCTACCTAACTCAAGAATAGAAATAAAGAGTGTTCACCTTTTACGAATATAAGCATTTCTATGCATAAACTTGCATAGAAATGCTTGATTCATGAACTTTAAATATATAATACCTGGATCACTTGTATCAAGTGTCATTTACCTCTTAGATTAAAAAACCTTCATTGATACTGCTGTCTTTATTATATTGTAATTAGGTCCATTTAAACTACTAAGTAAGACCAAATGAAACAAACCAATAAAAGCAATTATTTCAGTTCCCAATTTACATCTCTGTTTCCTACTGATCTTAGTGGGTACTGAGGAAAAAGGGTGTGGCTTTCCAACACCCGTCCAACCAAGTAGAATTTTGGTTACACCGGTGATTGGCTAACTATAAAGTCAAATGATTACCTCAAAGAAAAGCCCTTGATTTTCCCAGCTAATCCTATTTACCTCAACCAGATCCCAGAAATAGACTTTTCCATCTTCTGAGCAGCTCCCAATATGTGTGTCTCTTTCACTTAGACAGCAATCCATCTTGTATGTTACATTCTTGTGGCCGGTGTAGCTGGAGATACAATTGGGAGAAAAAGGAGATTATTCCTGACCATCTTGGAAGATGTTTCCCCATCAAGCCTCCTGAAGCTGCTACCAATTCTTGGGTGAATAGGAAGTTAATTAAAAAAGGACACCATTACAAAATTTGACACAAACTTATTCATAGCCACAGAAGATCCTTACTATATACATTAAAGTCTATTACATAAATACATTTTTCTTTAACTCAATAATTAGGGGAAATGTCTAAACGTGTATAAAATATTTACCGTATGTGTATTTAAAGAATTGGATCTTGGTCTTCAGCATACGCTCATACTTCTGTACTGGGAATAGAGTCAACCTTAGTCTAAGTGCTAAAGCAGGGGTGTCAAACTCACATCATTATGGCAGTGTCATGTGATATATTGTGACTTTCCCCCTCTTCGCTAAACTGGGCATGGGGCGGGGCCGAGCATGTCGCATCTGGCCTGTGAGTTTGACAGCCCTGTGCTAAAGGAAGCATTACAGTTAACAATGAAAAGTGTTTGCTTACTCTCCTAGTAGCTCGCCTGTATCCTTGTCCAGCAACCGCAGTGTAGAATCCAAGCTAGCAGCTAGGGTGCATTGCCCATCCTTGCTGAAACATACACAGGTAATGGGACCTATAATGAAAACATGGCAATGTTGGATGTTATTGCTTCATGCAGTGGATACAAGGGTCTATGTGCATGAAGAAGAAAGAACCTGTTCAAAAAGAAATAAGAAGGTATAGTGGCTTGCAGGTATTACGCCAAGTACTGCTAAGAATATATGGATATACTGTATCATGGAGAAAATCAATGAGTCAACAGTGACAATGATTATATGAATTGATAGTGCATAATCATTAAATGTGGATGCAAGCCTGAAGATACAATTGATGTCCTTGCAGACACTTTTCAGTTTGAAGCTGATAGGAGTCTACCAAACAGAAAATGAAAAAAAACTAGTTATTTATCCAGCACAAGACAACTAAAGGTACCATATCCCACAACAAAGTGATATCTTCAAAAATATAGTTCTCCCTTCAGCAGTTTATTGGATATTCCATATACGAAACTTACTTCCAATGTAGTCTGCGCAGAGTTCTCCAGCACGGAGGTCATAACGTCGGACGCGTCCATCCACAGAACTGGAAAACAACAGAGAAAATACTTTGATCCTGAAGTCGAAAACTATGCTCTTCAAAACTATCTGTTCTCAAACCAAAACATTTATGTCCTTGTACCCTATGACTTGCTATGAGTGAGTTTGGATTATGGAATTATAAAAATTTCCAGTACAGTTGTACACATGTTCGTTCATCTTCTCACATTTTAGCAAAAATTGACACATGGTTTTAAATTCTGTTCCAAAAGGGGGGAAAGTTTTTTTTTTTTTTAAATGAAAACAGACGTGGAAAAGTTGATAATACTTAACATCTTCTCTAAAATAATCTATTCTGGATTTAGCAAAGCACCAAATTTGCCTTTTCCAGTTCAAACTTCATCCTATCCTTCTTTACCCTGTAAGAATTTCATAGTCTGAGACTTTCAGACTGGAGATGCCATCTTTGGCTTCATCCAAGATTTGGACTGGATCTGGTCTGCGAGAACGACAGTCCCAACAACGGACACTGGAGTCAATGGAACCTGCAGGAAAGTAAAGATCCATGCTAAATAAAGGCTAGGATGAACAATCTAAAAGCAACATAGAAGGCAAGCAAATTTTTTACCTGAAAGAATTACAGTGCCCTCCTCATTGAACTGGACACAATTCACCTTCTGTTCAGTTGAAAAAAAGGGAATATAAAAAGATTAGAACTTGCTATTGTTCTCAACTTATATTTAACTTCCCATTTTTGGGAGCTGAGCTTGAGGAGTGTGTACAAGTCTGCATTATTTTCCCATTCCCTTGCCCTTCAATACTTGAACTGTTGCAAACTTTATTAGTAGCTGGAATTCCGTACATTTATCTCCTTTATTATTTCATCAATAGCTGTGCAAAGTATTTGAAGGTAAAATGTATTAGCATGAGTGAAACATTCTTTCTCAAACTGCTGAGGCAACCATATCCACTAGGAAACTCACCATGACTGCTTAAGCATATATTCTTGGTTGTCACTGCTATTTTGTTTTGCCAACAGACCCAGTAGAATTTTGTCTGTTGTGCTCGGAAACAATTTCAAGGAGAGATGCCTTATTCACATCTATGTTCTTTGCAACACATCCTTCAAATGTTTGTACAGCCATACTTCTATCCCTCACCACAGCTAGTCAAACTTAGTAGTTTCATAACTACTAGGCATTATACCTTTCCTTAAATACTCTCATCAGTACCACGGTACAATTTTTTATCACTCCTACTTATTGCCACCCACTATAATCCTCAGCCAGAGACCTTAGTATCAGGTGTGCATAGGTATATTTATTGGGTTTACATTTTTCCAATAAGATGCAAACACAAGCATACTGAGCAAAAATTAAAATATTCCATTTAACTACGCTCATGAAAAGAACAATTAATAAGCTGTCATAATAATTTTCCCAACTCAGAATACTACAACAGGCTAAATACTTCTGGAGGCACATGATAAAAACAACATCTGTGCGCCTCATAGCAAATGTGCTACTGAACTCACAATTCCTTACTTAAAACCTCAACTTCCCCTCAAAAAATGTAAGATCACTGAATCTACTTGTGAAAAAATTTCATGTTGACACTGCCTCCTATAGATCATGCTGAGGCTTGTACTTTACAGTATTGGCTCACTGTATGGCAGCCCATATAAGTACAAACAGTTACATAACTGCTGAACAAGCAAACAATGGCATTTTAGAAAGGTTCCTCTTTTTTGTAAAGTTTCTTTGGAAGAAGAATGTTGAAATGCGGAAGCTATTGGGGCAGATATATTCTAAGAAAATTCACTATGAGACACAGAGTCTTCCTCTTCCATTTCTTATGTACAAAACCAATAATTCCTTATTTAGCAAATCAACTAGTGTCTTGCATTTTTTTTTATCTGAGAATTACAATTCCGTTTTTATAATTTTGTTTTCCTTATCCATGTCTCCGGTAACATTTGACTTATTCCAGCCAATTCTGAGTTCCACCCAGCTTTTTATCTCCATTTACAAACATTTTATATTATATTTCACATGGGCTTCTGCCAACCAGGGAAAAAAAATCAGGGATTCCAAGGTTCTCAGAAGCAGAACACATAATTGTTATCCTCTAAGGTAGAAACTCAGAAGAATTCATATTTCAAAAAGACATAAATCTTCTCATTTTCCAAGCATCCCAAAAGACAAAAATACATCTTACCCCTGCATGGCCACGGAATTTGCGAATTACTTGGCCTGTGGCAACATCCCACAGTACAACTGTTTTGTCTGCTCCACATGAACAAAGTTGGCTGTTATCAAATGACCTAAGGAAAACACAGATAAAGAGGGGAATAGAAAAAGCAAGAGAAATAATTTTCCTTAGTATCTAAATAAAGAGTATTTTTTTTCTTTTTAAAAGCTGTATATGCACATTTTCCATTGTAATGTGTAAGTGTAGAATATATACTGAGCTTCTCAGTTTTTTTAAATGTAAGAGTCATTTTAACAGCAAAAAAAGGTTTAAATGAATGGACAAGATTTAAAATATGAACATGAGTAGAATTTCCTGGACATTTACTATATCATTTTTTTCCTTACTCAAACTTTATAGAAACACACTTTTACGTAAGAGTAATATTTACATTTTTAGTGTTATAGTAATTTTTTCAGACAGTTTTGTTACGTTCATTATAGTTATGTCAATCTTTTCATTTATTTTTATTTCATTATATATTCATCATTACATATTTGTATTTTTCAAAATAATATTTTTGTAAAGTTCCTTCCCCATCATCTAATCCAGTTATTTTAAACTTTCTTAAAGTATTTCAGTATTTTCAAAATAGTTGGATTTTTTTTTTAATAAAGTGGATCCACTTCCCCTAGTTCCTACCCTGCAGCATCTAGGACTTCATAGCCATGGCCACAATATGTCTTGAGGAGAGTCCCTTTGTGTGGGTTCCAAAGCTTGAGTGATTTGTCACTGCCACAGGTGAGACAGTAATTTCCATCCACTGAGAAAAAGAAAAGTCTCATTTAATGTTAACTAGTTGAGTAAATTCAGGGAATCCCTGGAAGACAGTCAGTTTCATTTCGCTTAGAATGATGCAAATTCCACTATTCATTTTGCAATTTCAAACTTTTTGACCCAACAAGCAAGACACACCTCTCACTAGCTATCTTTTCATAATCCTTACAACTGTTTCCTTGATCCACTCACAAGTTACTAAAAGCTTACAGTTATACACTATTAATTCTACATAAATATGCTTCTGAGTTTTCTCTAGTTTTAATAACTGAAAACTGGTATTCTATTCTATTTTATGCAATCAGAAATACACTCACCATTGAATCTCACTGCTCTTATAGCTCCTTGTTTACATTCTAATGTACCAAGCAATTTTTGGGGAAGCTCGGGTTTCTTGGGTTTGGGTTCTGGAAAGGCCATCACATAGATGTAGCTTGATTGCTAAATTAAATCCACATGTATAATACTGAACCTCCACAGCAAAATCTCTAGAATCAGGAATATCCCAAGGCAGACTAATGCATTAGGCCTATGTTGCTTCTGGGTACTTGTTGCCTCCCGAATTGCATTACCTTATTGCAAAATAGAAGACACACAGAAAACATTTGTCAGTTGCAATCTCTTTGAGCAATCAATTTTGTTTCAAAAATAACATATCAAAATAGATTACTTCAGTCAATGGCTACTTACTAAACCAAGTCAAACATGTACTCTACATTTGCTCTGCTGAAGCAACATAAATATCCCCCGGTATTGAATGTAAACCATCTATTTGGGAAGCTGCTGAATAACAATATGCGAGTCTTCTTGAGGCTGTCAGCATCCTCCGATTTCACACCACTTATCTTTACAAGTCTAGCTTGCTTAAGCATACATAGGGCACTTTAAACTTTCAGAAAGGTCTGCTGAGCATGCTCTTCCTTCAAAACCTTTCAGCTTTACTTCTCTAGGCATTAAAGTAACACTTAATTGTTCTTTATGGTATCTTTCTAACATGGCAGCTGTAAAAGTAGTTCCCGACTTACAACCATAATTGAGCTCAAATTTATGTTGCTCAGTGAGACATTTGTTAAGTGAGTTTTGCCCAATTTTACAACTTTGCTTACCACAGTTCTTAAGTGAATCATTGGTTGTTAAATTAATAATCCAGTTGTTAAGTGGATCTGGATTCCCCATTAACTTTGTTTATCAGAAGGTTCAAAAGGTGTTCACATGATCTGGGGGACACTGCAACTGTCATAAACATGAACCAGTTGCCAAGCATCCAAATCTTGGTCACATGACCATGAGGATGCTGCAATGGCCATAAATGTGAAAAATGGTCATAAGTCACTTTTTTCAGTAATACTGTAACTTAAAAAGGTAACTAAATGAACTGTTGTAAGTTGAGAATTACCTGTATTGGACTAGGGGAGGTAAGGATTGAAACCATTTTTATTAGACCAATTGAAGATTCACAAAACCACAAGTATTTTAATGCTCAAAAAGTATCAGGCAAAATGACCAAGCATTCACGATAAGCAGGCAAGGAAAGAAACATTGGGAATGGTATTTGATTAGGGTTACAAATAACCGGACAACCACTAGTTGGCAGCAATGATTTAGCCAAATTTCCTTTTTTGTTTCCATCAAATGTCTATGGAGATTCTCGGTCATCCAGGTCATGGTTGTCCCAAAGGTGTCCCCCCCCCCCACCCTGCCAGAGCTGAAGAAGCTTCTTGGATGAGAAGCGAAACGTCTTCAAAGAAAAACAAGAAAGTCCAGTTGAAAAAAAGCACCTTTGGCTTTCCGTCGTAGTAGACGATGCTACTAGATGGGAAAATCTCCGGGTAGTCAAATGGAGTTTTTTTTATCAGGCAGAAGATTAGGGGGGGGGGGGGGGGGAGGTAGGCTTTACCAGGGATCCTTTCAAAGGACAAATTTTGTATATGTATAAGAAGCCAGTTATTGAAAGTAAACCTCTCTCCTACCAACCCGCCTCTTCGTCTTCGAATCATGGAACTATGCATGTTGGGAAATCGTTCACATTTCTTAGTAACCTCTTGCAGATTTTACTTACGAAATAGCAAGAAGGAAGAAATGCAGGCGTCGACTCGTCCATTCACACCTCCAACCTAGTTTCATTGGTTCCACCCCCTCTCGGCATACTTTCTTCAAGCGAGAAGGGAAGGGCTACAACATTCTTCCTCCTTCTCATCCTCCTCCAGAAATTTCAGTTTCAAGGCCTTTCCAGTGTCAACATAAGCGTGGACTCATAGGCCGGAACAAAATCGCCTAAACTCGGGGGTGTTACACTCTTAGTCACCCTCCCTGCGGCACTGAAAGGAAGCGGAAGTTGCTGCAGCCTCGAAAGGAGGTCGTTCTCGTCACAGTACTGTAGCCCGCGGCACAGTGGGATGTCTAGCAACAGTATGGCAGATCCGCGGCGTCCCAACCGCGTTCTCAGGTCAGGCTGCAGTGTGGGATGGGAGTTGGCATGGTAACGTCACGACTTGGGTCCGGAGTCGCTGTAGCACGGAAGGAGACGGAACGGACAAGTCACGCACGATGGCACGTGACTTGCCTGGGGTCACTATGGCAACATCGGAGCGAATGGAGGGGGGATCTGGCTACTGTCGTTTTAGGGACAGTTGTGGGGGGGAATCACATAGGGGGAAAAAGAAAAGCTTACATAATGGCACGATCAGAATCTCCCTCGGTAGTTTCCTGGGTACTGTTCAAAAGTTAGTGATGCTATAATTTGCATAATGGTATTAAACACGGTACTTAATATCCACAACTCCATGCCAATGAAAGACTGGAACTTTTCCTGAAAAATGGAATGCTTTGAAGTGTAATAGTATTATTTACTTTCAAGAGCTATGATATATATACACCCTGTGGTAAATGAGCAGCTAACTTAAAACTCCCAGTTCCAGATACAAAATACACAACTATGAAATGATAACGAGAGCTAGAGGTTTTTCTTCTTCTTTGTAGTCCAGTTCCTTTAACTCTAGCCTAACTACTTTTAGCAGTTGTACTAATTGGTGATTATGTAGAAATGCCCAAGGATACTTAATATTACAACTTCAAAGAAAGGATAAATTGATACCTGAATAAAGCCTCTGAAAGCATAACATAGTTTGACACTGCTAATTTCAGACTAAAGCTTCAGTTCAGAGAAAAATGCATTGGTGTATTGAAATAAGATAGGCATGGCTCACGTCCTTTTATTTTAAGAGTGCCTTATTAAATTATGAGTATTTATGTTTGGTTGAGGTTTGACTATATTACTTGAATGTACAGGAGGGAAGAGGCAATATACCTTAGATAAAATTTTGGACATATTTTTTTGTGCATTATAGAATACATGTAGTGAAGTTTAATAAAACCAAAAACTAGTAATTATGGTTTGAATTTCAGGAAGTAAATTGGAAAACTGAATGAAGAAATACAATGGAGTGGTTGCTTGTGTATGAATCTCTATGTAGAATTATTGAACTGTCAAATGCATTTTTATGATTACATTTAAAAATCCATTATAAATGCATATCAAGAAGGATATGAAAGAAGTTGGGGGAGGGTCATCTAATCCTTTGCTCATCACAGAGTTTGAGATTCCCAGTGAGAATGCAGCAATTGTTGTTATTATTACAAAAACACTCCCAATGTTCAAGTGAAATTTAGTCTCATGACTTCAACTATCAGATCTGATCCTGATAATAATTTTGGTCTTATCTGAAATTAAGATAATGTACTTAAAGAAGTCTGATAATAGTTGGATTTTTTCCCCAGTAGTTTTTCTGGGTATTATTTTTGTTTAATCTCAACATTTAACAAATAACTAAGAGTAGATGGTGGTAACTAATACAGTAATGCCAAGTGGAGCAGTAGAAACACACCCACATTTAAATCTTGTTAAACTATGTAGTCAAATTAGGCTACTAAAAATCAGATTGTAGAATCCTATATATGGTAATTTATGGATATACCAATTGAGTTTAGAAGGATTTATATCCAAGTAAGTGTACAGCAAGTTGCAATTTTTTACCTGATTTGCAATCTCTCTGCATTGGGATGTTTTATGATTAAGGAATAATTTACACTGCTGCTTTTTACTCTTTTCTGTTGAGCAAACTTTTGAACCACCCATGGGATGTCCAGGGCATACAACAAACTAAATAGGCCAATATAGTAAGAAGAAAGAATAGAAAAGAGCCCTATATCTTTTGCATGTTTTTTGCTTAAGGAAGCCCCTTTTGTCAAAGGAATCCAATAAAAAGAGATAATTCATCTTGATTTCTGGCCCTTAAATGTTAGTTTTGCCTACATAGATAGTCTTTGGCTTATGTCATTCACTCAGTGACCATTCAGAATTGCAGCGGTACTGAAAAACTACACCACAAACTTACAACCAACCCTTGAAGTTCCAGCTGTTAGCTTTGCCTACACAGATAGTACTTGGCTTACATTCATATGTTCATTAACCATTCAAAGATACAGTGGTGCTGAACCCACTGAAACTGACTTACAATCAGCCCTTGAAGTTCCAGCTGTTGCAGGATCCTATAGTTGTCTGATAACAATCTGGGAGCTTGGGTGCCCAACTCACAATTATGACATCACAGCAAGGCACATCCTGTGATTGCCATTTGCAGGCTATCATGCAAATTTTGTGTTAACAATCAATGAAAAGCTGGCAGGGAAGGTTGCAAGTCACTCCAGTAAGTCATTTTTTTCTGTTTCCCCCCCATAAGAGCTCATTATGGACTATGAGATCCCAGAGATCTCATATTCTATAGTATACCCCAGACCCCCGCCTCACTGTAAATCAAGCCTGTTGCAGCACCTTTGCTGGCCCTCCTCAACCTCTGACCTGCCCCCCTCCTAGTGCTTGCAGCGCCCCCTGTGGCACCTGTGCAATTCCTCCTTACTTGGGAGACCTACCTCTTGCCACTCCAGGGATTACAACAGAAACCAGGGCTGCCAGTATTGCCATCATTAAACAGTGCAATCTGGTGATATCATGTTTTACATCCACAACACTTAATGAAGGCAATTTTGTCCTAATTGCTGCCTTAATCTAAGTGCTACCTGTGTGAGCCTTACATATCGAACAGTTAACCAGTAATTCATAATATAGTTTTTATTATTCTATTTAATATTCTAGATTACACTTTAGCTACCAGAACTGGAGCAAGCAAATCTATCATTAACAGAAGTGTTCACTAAGTGAAACTGCAACTATGTTTATATTCTTACTCCAGCTTTCCCCTATTTACAGACCTGTTGAGGGTCATAAATGTGAGGATTTGTAAAGTTACTTTTTCATCATGTCATAACTATGATGGTTACTAAATAAGGCAATTGCTAAATAAGAATTTCTTTTCCTCCCTTTCCATTCAATCATGTTTGATTCTCGGTGATTGCCTGGAAAAGTTCCTACAGTTTTCTTGGCAAGGATTTTCAGAAGTGGTTTACCATTGCCTCCTTCATAGGGTTAAGAAAAATGTCTAGACCAAGGTCACTCAGCTGGCTTTATAGCCGGATGCCTTAATCACTACACCAAACTGGCTTTTAAGCAAAGACTACCTGTACACAAATTTTATAGATTTAATTTACAGAGTTTAACTCATAATCCTGCTTTTCATTTTTGTCCATATTAAAACAAGACTGTTCTCCCATTGTTCAGTCTTTATTATTTGAAGTGGTTGAAACAGAATACCCTTCATGAAAATTTAGAGTATGCTGAAGTATCACTTGGGGGAAAATACTAAATATTGATACCATTTCTTTTTCAAGCTTTTGACTTTGACCTTGTATGAAAGTTTTATTTTTTGCAGGGAAAGTAGCGTTTATGTTTTCCTCATCAGTTCAGAATTGTTGCTAGAAATATTTGTTTTGGGTTTAATACAATGTAATACTTTTGCTTTTCCTTATAATGAATTTTTATTTACAGATACAAGCCCCCAACTACAGAAAACAACCCTACTTTAGAAGATCCTACACCAGATTATATGAATTTGCTAGGGATGATTTTCAGCATGTGTGGCTTAATGTTAAAAGTAAGTATTAGAATACCCAGGTTTTGACCGAAAGACATCAAGAGCACTAACTGAACAAATCAAGTAAACTCTTTTACTGCTTACATATTATAATACAATTACTGAATTGCTATTGGATAGTATAGTTCTAGTATTTTGCAATAAAATCTGGATTATTCTTTGTAACTCCAGTTTTCTTTCTTCCCAGAGTTGAATTGGATTCATTAGACAATATTTTTCAGAAATTTTTCTGCCAACTTTCAAATGCTGACTAGTTACTATTTAACTTTCAGCAATAAATTAATAACTTAATGTTTCAATTTATATTAATTTGGAATTTATTTTTAACAGTTTTAACTAAATTTACATAGGCTATTTAAGATGTATTAGTGTAAATTATTCTAGAAGAAATCAAAACTGACTTTAAAATCTGTATGAGCATTGTGGAGCATTATAGATAATAGAATGGTTAAAATGAAATTCCTTTCATTAGAGGAATGCTTTGCTATGTATCCATGCTACAGGATATACATAAAGATATACATAAAGATATATCCTGTGCAAGGGTTCTTTTCATTAACTTCAGTTTGAGTCTCCCTAAGGGATCTGAATTGTGCCTAGAGGATAACGTGTTTTCTGTGTAAAAGTGATAATACCAATTAGCCATAGTACCATCATATATAAATGTTTTTGAAAATATGTCAATTACTTTACAACTCATTCAGATCTCAATTCTAGATTAAAATATCTTAAGAGTTTAATTATATCAGATCACTTCTTAGCATTAAGAGACACATTAATAGTAATTCAACTGTATGCTTTGAATGGATGGCCTGTATGAAATAGCAATTATGGTTATGCAATCGAGAAGCCATCATCAGGTTAATATATATAGATATTCAGTTTAATTATGAGATGAATGTTAGTCTTAGTGTCATTTATTTGATTCTCAATCATCAGCATCTTTCTTTTTACAGATGGCCAAAGCATTATTAACATATCAATAATCCATACCTGTAATATGAAATCTTTTGACTACTGCTAAAATAATCTTAAGAGAGAGGGGGAGGGAGAGAGAGAGAGAGCTTTGCATGAATTTATATTTGAGGTGACACTA